TAGTTTGTGCACAAAATGTGCAGTATAGAGTGGTGTACAATATGATCTGAACAGAGACATCTTCACTCCATCTGTACATGCACTAAACTTACGTAGGAGAATGTTTGCTTGTGCATACATCATGCGGCATTGCCTATAAATATCGTTATCATCTGTCATTTTTTATTTTTTTTTTCAACATTATGGCCCTGGCTTTACTCACGTCATTTTCTTCATCACTGCTGCTCTCTTCATCGGAGTCTGCGTCGCTTCCCTTCTCTGCTGCGCCAGGGTTTTCTTCCTGTAAACAAAAACATTCAAATCACACCGGACACAGTTTGACTGCGTCTCCAAATCTGCCACAAAGATTCACTCACCAACTCTTTCTGCGCTTTCATCTGTCGGTCGATCTCCTCTGGGTTACTGAACTGCTTCCCCCTGCCCTTGTGGCTTCTTTTGCCTGCAAAGCAGAAGAAATAAGTTGTTACTGGTGAATGTATCCAACTGTTTGTTCAAGTTGGTCAATCTAAAAGCAAAGTTAAGTGATTTATTTTCAGAACAGGGTAACATGCAACATCCACAAATGTGAAAAAAAACACTGGAAGCTTTTTGTTAAAAGAAGAGAGAGAGAGGTCTACTGCCTGGACTATATTGTGATGTTATGAGATTTTTGTAAGTCAGAGTTTATGCTGATGTGGTATGTGGTTGCCATTATGTACACTCCCTGTAAGTAAACACACCTGAACATGTCTGGTTCATAATATCCTAAAACAGATGAGACATGTTTACTTGTTTTCTACATTTAAATGATCAAACTAATGTAAAGTGGGACGTACTACGTTTCGTTCATTGTTATGCACTACTGGAAAACTATGAAAAGTATTGACAAATTATCAAAGATAGTTAGCTTATGTCCGAAAAAGGAAATACCAGAAGAATAAGGCCCCATTTACTACCTCATATCCAGCACTGTCAGACATGTATATGCTCATTTGTGTATGTTTTGCATTACATTTTACTGAAATGCCTGCTAAAAAAACTGTATTGATAATATTGGATCAAACAACCAGCCCCAGGAACTACTAGTTACATATTAGTTAGCCAACTATCTATTACAGATTTACATTGAGGTGGAAACTGAAGAGTTAATTATTGTGCAATGTCTGTAGAAAATAAATAAAATAAATCTTAAAAAGCTGCAGAGAGTGTGTGGTTGGAGATGAGTCACAAATGACGTTCACTGAGGGCCAGCGTAGTTTAACGTCAACGCTACTACATGTCATTGTTAGTGAGGGCTAGATGATGACATAAGGGTAAAACAGCTCCATATAAAAAGGTAGTGTGCACTTGAATAACACACATGTGAACGTATCTGGTGGTAGAAACAAAAGCTATGAACCAGACATTTAAATAAATACTAGTAAATGTGTCGTTGTCATGTGCACATGGTAACAGTTAGTTACCGTTACCGGCGTTTAAAAAACAAATGCCCATGGAAACCTTTCAACTGTTTAACTACTAAAATAACCAACAACTGTTATACAAAGACATTAATAATAACTATAGGTACATGATGTCGTTCCTGGGTAGATTACAGCCGCAAAAAAACCCCATGCTAACCGGTTAGCAAGCTAAAGGCTAAGCATGTGTGAGTTCGCAATACTTTAGCTAACAATTCGCTAGCTAGAGTTAGCTTGCTACAAATTAGCATGCTACGTTTACTTGAATAATAACAAGACTTACCGCCCCGAGGCATTGTTAAAAGTAGTAGGTATACGAATAAAGTCCACAACTATGTCGCTGAATAGTCTGACAGTGGAACAAGCAAAGTCTGTGGGTTTAAAGTGCTGAAAAAAAGGCTAGAAAGTACTTCGTCTATCCCGCTGTCGGAAGCAACAACGTCGGTGGAAACGCTGCATTAACTGACGCAGAGTGCGCCTGCGCTGTTAAGACTGTTCAACCAATCACTGCAATGTATATTTGATTGACATGTCCCTCTACCAATTATCTAAAGGGAGCAAAAGTGATTTGTAGAAGGCCGTACCTTTAATTAGCAGTTACTCAATATTGATTTTAATACAGGATATAATCAATATGTATTTCTACTTCGGACAATCTAATTCATTCGATATAAATTATTACACAAACATTGATAGTCAAAACTACGTTTGAAAAAGGTAAATAAATATGATGACACAATACAGACTGTTGCAAAATGTTGCAATCTTGTACAATAAACCTGCAATGTGCAATATAAATACTTTTTTGCAATTGTACTGGGCAATCATCGGTTTTATGTAAAAACAAACATGTTTTTAAATGTACCAACACTTTTACAATGTGTCAATAACACCCTCATATGTTACTTATGTCACTTCTAGCCATGGTTGTGTACTTATTTGTCTCCGTTTTGTTTTTATTGCTGTGTGCTGGTTGATATGGAAGCATTTTGTTGAACAACCCTGTGTTGCACAATGACAATAATTGATCCTTGAATCCTTGATCACGCTGTTGTGATGATGATCAACAACAAAACATTGCTCAAGGTTCACTGATTTACAAAAAGCCAGTTAGTGAACCCTGACAAAAACGTCTATCCTGGAAACATTACTGCACAAAAATGTTATGGATTTTTCCTTATCTTTTTGTAAACGTGTCACTTGTTATCAACTGAGTAAAAATCCAATGAGTGATTAAGGTCATTTTCTAAAAGAGGCCATCAAAACAAATTGCAAACACCCTGTGATGAATTTTAGAAAATACAGTATATACAAAACAAATCTTAAAAAGAAAATGTCTGCAAATACTTTCCACACACATGTCAAAGATGTAGAAAATATGTTGTGTATTGAACAATTATGTTGATTCACATTTAAAGAAACAAGACAGAACAGATAGAGTCCTCATTAGGCAAAAAATATGTTTGCACTTATGAGCAAATAAAAAACAAACAAATTAAGACTTTTTTGTTTACATCGACAAACTGTAAACTCTGGGAATGAGGAACATTTCTATGATGGAGGCATCCGATCAGATTTGTCATTTCTTCCTTCGATGTTGAGTCTTTATATCTTCCACTTCTTTCTCAATCAGGTGGTACTCTACGGTAGTCTCTGTCAACTAGAGTGGGAGATTACAAATCAGTTCATTTACGTATTACATTTTACCACGTGTGAGCAGGCAGCATTATTACTGGGATTCACCTTTAATATGTTGCAAGCACGGTACGTTTTTACATATGGCTTCTTTAATGTTATAGTTATTTAAGGTCAAAGGTCAGTTCTTACCATGTCCAAGAGAATTTCAATCTTAAGTTTCAGGAGGTTGTTCTCTTCCTCCAGCTGTACGTTTTTTTTCTTAAGCCGCTGCACTTCCCTACCAGATGCATTCCCACCAGATTCTGGATCAACAAAAACAGAAAGAAAACAACTGCAATTATTTTTGTGTACTTTTCAAAAAAACTTCAACCCCAAATTATCACTGGTATATGTTACCTCCCACTGGGTTCCCTTGAATTTGTGAAAACACTTGGATTGACGAATCCAAAGAAAACGGTTGTACTGTATAGAGAGGCGATGTCTCGCCCATCTACTTCTGACCCATGGGACCTTATTTCGGAAAAATTATGTATTGAAGTCAAAGGGGAGAGAAAGATTATCTTTCGATCCCGTTTGAATTGTGCCACGAATTACACATATGATATTTGTCAATCTTAAAAAATAATTTCCATGTCAAAAAAGTCACAGTTTGTCGTAAAACTGTTGAAATATAAGACTATGAAAAATACTAAATTGACAAACATCATATGTGTAATTCGTGGCACAATTCAAACGGGATCGAAAGATAATCTTTCTCTCTCCATTGACTTCAATACATACTTTTTCCGAAATAAGGTCCCATGGAGGTCCACCGGAAGGGGAGGGACTATGCCTCTCTATTCCCCTCTATTGGCATGCAAGAACAAAACCAGTTTCCTTCACAAATTGTGGTAAAAATTGGTATAAAAATGGTCGTGTTGAGGGTGAGGTATCCATTAAAACAGCGGAAGCAAACATTGTTATGCTCTTTATTTAACAATGTCCAAACTCATTACCTGAGATCCACTGTCCATCTTCAAATTTCCAACTCTGACCTCCGAGGTTCATCACAGGAGGTCCGTACTCAAGGCCCAGCTCCACCTCTCTCGTCGAGCGATCCAACTTAAAGGGATGAAGGGTAGAAAACATAGTCAGTATGAGGAGGATAAAATAATGGTAAATAATAGATCAGTCTGAATGAACACCCAATGGAAAATAATATAGATCTGTAGCTTTATAGCACAATCCACTCATTTGCTGTATCAAAACACGTTCATTATTGATCAGAAACAGAATCAGGATTATTGCAAGTATGTTTACACATACGATGACGTATATGGTAGATACAAACACACAGTTAAAAAAGATACATATTAAGAAAAGCAACCAAAAAAGAAAACAATTATAAAAACAATTAAAAAGATAGAGAAATATTGACATGAAATATAGATAAACCAAAAAACTATATGCATTTTGTTTATCCCTTAGGGATCATAGTATTGTAAATAAGGGATCAAAACAAAATATAGGTATTGCTTCATTGTAATGCATCCATTCGTGCACATTATGAAACTAGTGTCTTTAGCACAATGCTGCTGCAATAAAAACAGTATTTTCTCTTTACTCACCGTATGAAGGCTGGACAGAGAAGCAGATTTGCGAGGTGGAATCTTCTTCGGACTGAACGTGCTCCCAAAGAGCGGCATCTTTAGTGATTTCTTAAGGTCCTGTATAAAACACCACAAACCAAGTAGTATTAGTATGTATCCACAGTGCTGTCAATGTGTTTATCGTTGCCAAAGCTACACTATAGAGCTAATGCTAGTAGGCTAACACTCGCTAGCTACTCATAACATTACCTTACATGCAATTGAAAATGTCGACTGCTTCACAGCAGGTTGGTTAGTAGTTGTTTTGTCACTTAGAATATTTATATCTCATATATTTACCTCCATTAAGACTAGTTATTTAATTTGTCGACTCTCGTCTGCTGCAAACAAACCATACTTGCTCCTGCGCACGCGTGGAACGTGCCATTTTGCATTAGGACAACACTCTGAAATACTGTAAGGGTTTCATACAAAGCTTTTGGACTAAGCTTGCCAATACCAGCTTATAACGATATCAAGAACATATTTCAGCACTTGTGTTGGTTATCTATGTTATCTTTTGGATATTCTAATAACCAAAGTCTTTAAACATCAAAATAAATACCCATATTTAGGTGAGATAATGGGACCATCCATGGAACGTAAGTGCATCACCATGGAGATCGCGACGCTTGGACTTCCCACAAGCGTTTATATACCTTTTTCCTTTACATATTAGTATTTTAGACAATTACAAATCCTATGTCAGAAACAGTGCTAGTCAAAACGTAGATTTCTGCTTTCCATACAAAACATTTCCTGTGAATATCAATAATTTGTATAGTAATATAAAGAACTTAGGCCACGCCCATATGTATGCCGCCCCAGTGGCCTAATGGATAAGGCACTGGCCTCCTAAGCCAGGGATTGTGGGTTCGAGTCCCATCTGGGGTGATCTCTTTTTCTTTTTTTCTGGGAAAAAGGAAACTGCCGAGAAGATGCGCGCTGTGTCAGAAAATGTGTGCAATTGAAAGGATCAGCCACCAGAAAAGAAGCACCCCGTCGGTTCTTGAGAAATCGCGGCTCTGTGCTGAAATAAGAACATTTATTTCCTAGTTAACAGCTAACATGGAGACCATTGAACTGTGCATGCTGCTGCTGAGCACTTTGGCTGCATCGGTGCAAACTTACCGTGAGTAGCAGGTCCATGGCTGGTATGGACATTGCAAGACGATGTTTTTAATCAAATACAGTTTCACCTATATGTTTACAAAATGCATTTTTTAAAGTGTGTTCTCTTCTGCTGTATTTCGTTCTATTTTATTAGCGTTTAAAATTGGCTAAAATGTAAATGTAACACTAATGACACATAATGCCACATGAATGGGCTATGATAGTCAAGCAATTAAAATACTTTTTTATTTTAAAGATTTCTTTTGTCAATAACTCATGTTATTAACTAATGTTGTATTGGTTTTGTCAATTAATCAATCAAATTATTATTAATAATTATATTTATTTTAAAATGGTAAATATATTTTACTTGAATCAGCATGAGGTTTATTATAGAGTGGGTTTTTACATAAATGGTTTTGCTTTGGTGTATAATGGTGCATACATAAACGTAATAAGATAAATGAATATGGAAAAACAAGAGCAATTATTTACTAGAATTGTAAATAAATGAAATATTCTAATATTATTAAAAAAAATATGGAACAAATAAACAAGACGAAATGTAATTAAAATATGACAAATAACTGTGAAAAATATTTGTACAAAGAAATTCAATTCAAGTTTGACAATTAACAAAAAAAAGGTATGTACAGGAAACATACATTTACAAAAAAGGAAATCCAATAAATGTATGACTGTGAATATTACAAAAATCAAGCAACACATAGGAAAATGTTTATATATTTTTATTCCCAAGCTGTGTTTTTACCTATAGCTTATTCTAATGGTGTCATGACATTATCTTACATAATGAATGTTATCCAACTTCAACCCTGTGACCCTGCCCATCCTCCTCCGATGGTAGAGCTCCGAGAGGCCACCGTGTATTGGGACGCTGCCCAGAAAAGTGTACTCCTCAAGGAGGGGGTGATGGAGAGCGAGGGGGGGGCCTACGGGTTCTTCAATGACACCCTGCTGCTCTCGGGATGGGGCGTCCTGGAGATCTCTGCAGGTCATGGAGCAGGAAGTACGCAGGAAGACGAGACCACTTTCTTCCTGGCGGGGTACCTGGAGGGTTATCTCACTGCTGGGTGAGGGTCCCGGCTAATTAAATACCTCACACACAAAGAGCACACACCTTCACAATCAATGGAAACTCTCATAAAGTGTTTATATTACCTCGCAGGCGCTTGAAAACAAAAAATACATATGAAAGATGAGTTATGAGACTTATAATGTATTTTGTTTGTTGTTTTATCCAATAAACATTACATAAGTATGCCTGGTTTAGCTAATAACTACTTATAGCTTTAATACTTTAATGGTTTGATTCCAGCTTTTCTTCTTCTTTCTCTGCAGACAGATGTTCAGTCATTACTCCAACATGTACCCTCAGTTCCTGAAGGATGAAAAGGTTCTGAATCCTCTGAAAAGGTTTTTAAGGTACTGTTTACATGCATGGCTCAAGATTAAACCTGTTGGTAGAAATGTGTCTGTCAGTGGCTTCATCTTCAGTTACAGTCGGTTTAGATCAATTGATCAGAAAATAATTTGTGATAAATGTGTACAACTTAAATGAAAATGTATTATTACGAGTTTCCATGGAGAGTTAATGCTTTTTCAGTTTAGTTTTACATCTCAATAAATAGGTTTCCTTGTTGAAATACTCAATATCTGCAAGTTATCATATATTATTATAAATACATATAGCAGGGTCAATAAGAAAATGACCCTGCTAAATGGAGAGTTCAACACCACTGCTTCCATATAGGATGGGTTATGCAGAGTAACTTTCACAGTTTGTGCCCTGCTGCAAACATGTGTGACAATTAAACGTTTATTTGTAATGAATTCTCCATTTCCACTTCCCACAGCAAGCAGGACCAGTGGTCCAGAGAGCAGGTGAGACTGAGGAGACACAGCGACCCCCTCTGGAAACACCTGGGACTGATCCTGGCTCAGCTGGATGGTCTCCAGGCCGGAGCGGCACGCTGGGCCAAGAGCAAACACAGAGAGGTGTGTGTGGGAAGTTTAGATTAGATTCAACCCTCATTGTCATCGCAAGGACAGCGAAATGCACTTAGAATCTGAACAGCATTGCAATCATCATCATCATCATCATCATCATCATCATCATCATCATCATCATCATCATCATTGAAGAGACTCAAGGTCCATTTTAAGACATACAACACTACCAATGTTTCCACAGAGGTGACGTCCAGTACTGAGACAAGGATTTGACAGAATCATAATGACAAAATTAAGAGAAACATTCAATCGACAGATACATTTTATATTGATCAATCCAGTTTCATTTATTTGGCACAATATCACACGTTACACATATGTCTCATGAGCTAACTGCTGTCTTTAGACCCTAACGCTAACCTTAACCCAGCGCACAAAATACAAATCCCAAATAAACCCTTAAACTAAGTTGTATCTTGTGACGTTTCAAGTTTTTACTTTCCTTACACACTTAACGTACACCGTCTGGTCAGCTAGGATTTTAAACGCATGCAGTTCCTGACAGAGAAACTTAGGCGTAACATATAACATAGGCATGAGGCTCTTTCATAACAAAGTGTAAAGGTTTTCCCCCGTCTGGACAAAATGCATTATTAAGTAATAATATCAGGCCAGCATTACATTTGTGAATTTACACAAATTATTTATCACTTGTATATACACTCTTATGGCACTACTTCTATTCTAGTTTATTGTATTTACTTGCACTATTTTATCTGTTGTATTGTGTTACACTGTGGGAGGAGCCTGTGACCTAAGATTTTCATTGACATAACTGAACCGTATACTATGCACACATGTCAATAAAAGCCTTGCACCTTGAATCTCAGAGTTGTCACAGTGTCATTTCATTCATCTCTGCCCCCCCCCTTCCCTCTCAGCCTCTCTCAGCGTTCGCCCTGCAGTTTCTGAATGGCGTTGGCGACCTCCTGGATCTGGTCCCGTCTCTGACGCCTCGCTCCAACTCCTCCTCAGCGGCCGGCGCTCTCAGGACGCCGGGCATGGGCCACTGCACGGCTCTCATCAAGGTCAGGAGGGACTCATTTGGCTGCAGCTGAGAGGAGGGCGCACTTGAGAAGACTAATTAGTTTTATTGTGGTTGATTTGCTTGTTTTTCTCGTGTGAAGTGTGAGTGAAAGGCCAATGGGAGGAGGATGTTTCCAACCCTCTGTATTTCATGTGTTTAAAGGGGCCCTATGATGCTCATTTGAGGTTCATCTTTGTATGTAGTGCCTCTGACATGTCTCCATGCTTTAATGTTCAAAAAGCTCTTTATTGTTCTCATACTGCCTGTGCTGCAGCACCTCTTTTCACCCTCTGTCTGAAACCAGAGCCCAGTCTGCTCTGATTGGTTAGTTAGCCGGTTCTATTGTGATTGGTCAACCACTTAGAGATGTCCCGCCCCTTAGCCTATCACGTACAATGATTTGGAGCGCTAGCCATAGAAGCGTAAGTGTTGTTCAGGAAGTAAACAAAGGAGTCCAATTGGAAAAAACAAAACTTTTACATTAACAGTAAAGTACAATCATTACATTACTTAAGAGCAGTGAAATAGGATTATAATCATTCTTTTATTTATCTGTGTCTAAGGTTCTTCCGGGCTTTGAGAACCTGCTGTTCGGACACTCCAGCTGGTACACGTACGCAGCCACCATGCGCATCTACAAACACTGGGACTTCAGGGTGTCCGACACACACACCGCCACTGGGAAGATGTCCTTCAGCAGCTACCCTGGTACACACACACACACACACACACACACACACACACACACACACACACACACACACACACACACACACACACACACACACACACACACAGGAAGATGTCCTTC